GAGTAGACCAGGTGAACTTGGTCTGGAGCCCTGACCCCCTGGGGTCCTCAAGGAAGGCTTCGTGGATGGACTGGAGGGCACAGCTGGCCCTGAGATGGGTGGGGAGACAGGGAGGGCATGGTCGAGGGACAGCTGGCATCTGCCATCAAATCTTCATTGAGCATCTACTAGGGGCCAAGACCAGTGCTAGGAGCTGGAGACACCCTGGGATCACGGCTCCTCCTCCCAGACATGGCAGGCGGTCACAGGTGTGAGAGAGCCCAGGTGTGTGTACCTGGGAGCCTGCCCCCTTTGAGGCATCTGGGAGGCTTCCCTGCATCTCACAGAGTGAGCAGGGCTGCCTCAGAGGTGGAAGGAGGGAGACAGGAGTGATGCATGGCTTTACGCTCGCTAGTCCCCCGCCGCCAAGAGCTCCAGGAGAGTGCTTTCTGCGGTGGGATCCTGCAGGGTCCCCCGATGGCCCCCGCTTTCTCCATCCGAGTGTGTGGGGCTGGCTGTGAGAGTTTTGGAAAGCACACGCTCATCTCATCAACAGGAAATTCCCCACCAACCTCCTGCGTTCTCATCTGGGGGCCTCACAGAGCCATCTGGCTGTATGTCCCACAAGGGAGCCTCCCTGCTCCGGCTCATGATGCCGCCGCCCCCTCCATGGCAGCCCCCTCCTGGGAGACCCTGGGTGCCTCTGTTTCCTCTCACCTCTCCTGTCCTCTCAGCTGCAGACCCCAAACCTCCCAACGAACCCCTGGGAACTGGGAAGGAGAGCTGGGAGGGGGCAGAGGGCGGAGGCAGTGGGCTGCCCTGGAAGGCCACGTCGTGTCCAGCCAGGCCCATTGCTCCTGCTCCACCTTTTGCCCAAGTCTCACTGGAGCTAGGGCAGGGCTCGCCGGCCAGACTTGGACAAGGTTCTGAGCACTAAAGCCTCCTGGGGCCCACCGTCCAAGGGAGAGACTGGCAGGTGGCAGGCAGTCACAAGCCCGTGCAGTCTGGGCTGTGATGGGGGAGGCGCAGGCAGCTGTGGGAGGCACCTGCCCGCCTGGCGCATCATGGCAGCCTTCCTGGAGAAGGTGATGCCTCATTATTGAAGGGTGAGCAGGTGCTATGCAGGGAGAAAGGACCAAGGTGTGCGGAGTGGAGTTGAGAAGGACCTGGTCCTTCAAGGATGAACGAGTGACCCAGGGTCACCATGCAGGAGACAACATGGCTGAAGCTCTGCTTCCGATACACGTTAACCCAGGAAATACAATGTTGTTAGGGGAAACAGAGAATGATGAAGCTACGTTCCATCCAGTTCTAAAGCACTTCTTTGTGGGTGCAGATAAAGAAGTTATGGATCTGTCGATAGATAGAGGTATGTAGGTATGAGGGTAAGGTGAGGGGGAGGAAAGATGGGGCTAAGTCATGCGGATGCCTGCAGGCCATGCAACCGAACTTGGCTTCTTTTGCCTTGGGGAGCAGGGCAGGGACGTGGCCAGATCAGAATTTAGAGCAGGCATGGCATTTCTTTGGTCTTGGGAGGTCTCAGCTTATCCATCTCTAAAATGGTCTCTCTCTTCTCCCATTTTTTCCTTTCTGAGAAATGACCAGGGTGTCCTGCTTATATCGAAAAACAGCATGTTGCCAGTGCTTATGGTTGAGAATGGTTTCTGTTTGGGGAAGTTCCGTGTGTGTGTGTGTGTGTGTGTGTTTCCCCAGGGAGTTCCCACAATTAAATTCTTACCTCCTGTCCTTCACAGGGAGGGAGATAGGGGAGGAGCTTTACTTTCTCTCTCTCTCTCTTTCTCTCTCTCTCCCATCAAGTTGTTTCTGATTCATAGTGACCCTCTAGGGCAGAGTAGAACTGTCCCCCTGGATTTCTGAGACTGCAAAGCCATAACAGCGTAGAAAGCCTCCTCTTTCTCCCTCTGAGCTGCTGATGGTTTTGAACTGCTGTCCTTGGGGTTAGTAGCCTAACTGGTAACCACTACATCACCAGGGCCCCTAGGGGCTGCACCATCCTGACTGTGTTTGGAGGCCTGGAAGGCAGAGTCATTCCGGATGGAGCTATCTTTGGAATGAGGAACATGAAGTTCAGAGATGCCAATGGCCCCAGCTTGCCCAGGTGTCTGTGGCAGAACTAGACCTCGGACTCAGAGCTTCCGATTCGTGGCCCAGAGCTCTTTCCAGCGGCTGCCAGGGTCCAGGTTTTACCAGTGGAGGGTGTGGCCGCAAGGTCTGGGGGTGGGGACTGCGTCCCAGCCCTGCATCTGATTGGACGTATGTCTTGGCCTTGGAGAGTTTGCCCTGGCTGGGTGGGTGTTGATTTAACTTAGAAAGCACTGTGGGATGAGAAAATCCAGGCTGGGAAAGCAGAGCCAGACAGGGGCAATGTTTACCTGTTCTGGAACAAATAAACAGGCGTCATGTTTTCGCTCCACACGTTATTCCTAAGTGCTGGCCACAGCTGGTTGGAACGTGGGCGTTCGAGATGCGCTCACAGCAGGGCCACTCACCAAGCCCTTAGTGTGCCCCAGACCCTTAGCACCACCAGCATCCTGGCACCTCGTGCTGCACCCATGAACCGGGTATGCATCTCCTCCCCTCCCCGGCTCCGGATCAGGAATGGAGGCTCCGGGAGGGGGAATCTTTAGCACAAGACCACCCTGTAAGGGGCAGGGTGATTCATTGTGGGGGCCCTGGCCGTCCAAGCCCTCTTCCCATGGGGTCTACCAGACTACTTCTTGGGCCAGAGGTACTTCTTTGTGGCCCCAAGTGGTGTCCCCAAGGGGGTGGGCTCTGATCACCTATATCAAACCTGTCTGAGGCCTTGTTCAAACCCCAGTTTACACGGGACCCCTCTGCGACCCCCCCCCACTGAATCAGAGTGCCTGGGGAGGGGCCTGGGAATCTGCATGTGTCACCTGCCCCTTAGAGATTCTGATGAGGCCACTGTCCTCCTGCGAGAGGGAGCGCTGGGGTCTGCGTGAGACCCACATGGGCAGCCACAGGTGGTGACGGTAGTGGGGTGCAGGAGGAGTGTGGGGAGAGAGAGGGAGAGAGGAGGGGGAGGAAGGAGAGACAGAGAACCTATGTGCCTGAAAACCAAACCAAACTCCCTGCCACCGATCGAGGCCACCTCCCCGTGACCCTATAGGACAGGACAGGGGAGACCTGCCCCTGTGGGTTCCAAAGACAAACGGGTGACTGTTAAGGGGATTAGAAAACCCCTGTCTTTCTCCCTTGGAGCAGCTGGTGGTTTCGAACTTGGGACTTTGTGGCCCGCAGCACAACCCGTAACCACTACGCCGCAGGGCTCCTAAAGGGGACCACACTCACAATCCGAGGCCCGGTCCTACCGGGGATCCCGGCTGAGAACCAGTGAACTCCTCGTGTACACCTCCCCCGTGTGCCCCATATGCCCCTGTTGGAAAGCTGGAAGCAGCGCCAGGCACAGTGTAGATGAACGGACAGCACCCCGACTCTCGCGGCTGCCTTTGTGGGGCGTCTCTGCTGTGGGCGGTTGTTGGAGTCCCGCTGTGGGATCAGGAGCACACGGTCTCTGTTGTCCACTCAAAGGCGACAGAGGCTCTCAGAGCAGCTTCTCCAGCCTCGCAGAGCAGGATGCGGGTGGTCTGGCCCTGAGCTGGGGTCCTGAGACCACTGCCCAGTTTGTCATTCATGGTCGTCCCCAAAGATCTTGTCCCGTGGGGCAAGGTAAGCAGCTCTGCGGCTGCACAGGCAGCACACTGACCCATGAGCTAGCCGGTTCCCTGCCCTTCCCTCGGCCCTTGCAGCTGTCTGGGAAGGGAGGGGCCACGGAGATCCCATTTTACAGAGGAGGATACTGAGGCTCAACAAAAAGCAGGGGTAGGGCTTGGACTGGAACTCGGGGTTTTCTGGCTCCAGTGCCCAGAGGCTGGATGACTGGTTTTGGGGTCTCCCCACCCCCGTGCTGGCTCTCAGGGCCGGCCAGGCCCAGTGGCCACAGCTGCTCTCTCAGTTTGATGAGGGTCAGGTCTTCAGGGAGCTAAGCACACACGGGCTGGTGACATCATGTCTGCAGGGGCCCCCTGGGGTCTGGCCCAGCTGCAGGAGTCTGGCTGGGGGTCCTGGATTCCTGTGGGATGGGGCCAGGTGACTTCAGCAAGATAAGGCGGGTTGTGGGTTGTGGGGTGGGAGGCTCCATGGCTTCCTTCTGGAGAGCCCCCAGAGAAGACCTGGGCCATTTCACAGCCAAAGACTCAGGACTCAGGCCCAGCACTCGGGATAGAGGCTTTCCAGGCCGGTGGCATCGTCTCAGGTCCTGGTCTCCTCCTCAATGGTGCCTCGTCCCCTGCAGGCAGGGCAGCTGCCAGCAGACAAAAGAGATGACATGGTGACAGGCATGACTAAGTGCCAGGCCCTCGTCTGGGCCCAGAGTGGCTTCTTCCCCGGCCCCAGGGCCTTCTCCCCATTCTCCCGATGAGGACATAGAGACTCTAAGACAGCGGTTCTCAACCTTCCGAAGGCCGCAACCCTATAATACAGTTCCTCCTGTGGTGGTGACCCCCCAACTATAAAATTATTTCCGTTGCTCCTTCATCACTGTCACTTGGCTACTGTGATGAATTGGGCGACCTCTGTGAAAGGGGTTTCGACCCCCCAAAAGGGTCGCGGCCCACAGGTTGAGAACCGCTGCGCTAAGAGGTGAAGGGACCTATCCAAGGTCACACAGCTAGGAAAGGTTCAGGGTTTGGGCTCCAACCCAAACCAGTGAACTTCCCGTGTCACACAGCAGGGCTGCAAGGCCCTGACCAGGCATCTCCCGAGCTTTGCTTCAGGACCATGAGGTGGCTGGGGTACGGATGGAGGCCATGGAGGGCCCCCAGAGCTGGACCAAAGGCCGCCCCGCTGCCAGCTCAGCATCATTTTTTTTCCCCCTGGAAGGATTCCTAGGGAGGTGGTTGGCTCATGCTGGGCTTTGAGGCCTTCGCAGTGGAGCGGGCGCTGACCAGAGCCTCACCAATGTTCCCCTCCTTCTGCAGGCACAGTCTTCTCCCATCAGGCTCACTCCGTCTGGCCCAGGCCCAAGTCAGCGACAGTGGCCGCTACCAGTGCACCGCCAGTAACCCCGCAGGCTTTGCCTCCCGCCGCTATGTTCTCAGTGTGCAAGGTAGGCCCGGGCTTCCCCCCCTCATCCCCATACCTGCGGGTGGGCCTGGAGAGGCTGTCCAGACGCCCCACGAGGGTGGAGGACTGGCCTGCCAGAGACCTAGATTGTTGGGAGGACTTGGGGGCTCTGAGGGGTTCAGGGAAGGGGGGCAGTGGGAGGGTGTGGTCTGAGGCCATCTGCTCAGTGTGTGGGCTCCCCAAGGAGCCCAGAGTTTGGAGGTGGTGAGGGGCACAAGCTCATGAGATCCCCCTCGGAGCCCCTCCTGCCCAGCACCCAGCTGTTGAGGCACCTAGACTCCGACGGCAACAGCCCTGCCCCTCGGTGGGTAGTGGGGTACTGGGGCAGCTTGGTGGGTCATGAAGTCTAGGGTCCCGAAAGTGGGCATTCCCCTGTGTGCCCAGGCCCACCCAGGGGGAGCCAGGCAGGGTGACACAGTAGTCAAGAGGCAGGGGGGACTTGTCACCTTACAGAGTCCAAGAGGCCCTCTGGGACAGCCAGCTAGCTCTGCCCCCCTCCCCAGCCCCCCTTCTGGTTAAGCCCTGGGGTGAGAGAACGGTAGTCTTTCCATGACTAGAAGGGGAAGTGGGGGCCGGGCGGGAGGACAAATTAGACAACACTCAAACTTCTGTGTCCATAAATAAAGTGTCCCTGGAACCCAGCCACACACACTTGCTTATGTATGGCCCGTGGCTGCTCCCACGCGGTGACAGCAGGCACAGGGGGTGACGGAAACAGAGGCTGTCTGGCCCCCGGGGCTGCCGTGTTTACGGCCTGGCCCTTTAGAGAAGCCGTTTGGCCACCGCCTTGACGCCGTGAGCAGTCCCTACGGCACACTGAGGCACAGGGAGCAGCTTCAGCGTTTTCATGAGTGTGTCCGTTGATGGGAAGCAGCAGGGAGGGGGTTAAAAAATGAGCAGGGCCTTCTGGTCAGTTGTAATTTGTAGCCACCCGGTAGGGCAGATAAATCTGTCTTGGAAGCAGTTCAGCCCGACTGCACCTTAGAGGCCGGGATGGCATGGGTTTGTCTCCCACCCTTGGCACATGTCAGGAGAGACCAGCCCCGGAGAAGGACATGAAGCTTGGCAAAAAGGAGGGCAGCAGACAGCGGAAGGGCCTCCAGGAGATGGACTGGCTACAGCGCCGGGCTCAGGCACAGGGCGATCGTGAGGATGGCAGGGGATCCGGCGGTGGGTAGAGTTGCTATGGGTCAGAACCACTCCTTGGCTCCTGACAACAACAGGACGGAGTGGAGCTGCTCCCTGAGGTTTGGGAGACTGGACGTTTTTACAGGAGCAGGAAGCGGCAGGTGGGCTTGAACTGCTGACCTAACGCAGCCCGACACATCAGCTGCAGGGTTAGTATGTCAACATGCTGCCCGCCGGCGCTCCTGGAAGGTCAGCGGAGCTGGGCTCAAACTCTGGCTCCACTGCTCACTAGCTGTGTGACCTGAGGCCATTTGCTTGGCCGCTCTGGGTCCCAGTTTCCCCCTTGGGCAGTGGGGCCGCAGCAATGCCTGTCTCATGGTCATCAGCACCTGTCGGTGACGTAAGGCACTTGGCAGAGTGGAAGCTGGCGTTGCCTTCGGTCAGTGTTAGAGGGAGAAAGACAGAGAGACAGGCAGATAGGGCATCACATCCTCATGTACCTAGGAAGAGTCTGCTCCCGGGCAGTGGGGTTCTGGGCTGAGGGCTGGTCTCCTCTCTGGGTGCCTCTTCAGAAGCTCCGGAGGGGGTGTGTGGGCATTCTTAGGCCTGCCCACACCCCCTTGAGGGGGCCAGTCCTGGAGCAGCACTGGCACCCCAGGGGCCCAGGCCTCTAAGAATTCACCGAGGCCCAGGCGGTCCCACTCCTGGTGGCTTAGCTCCTGCCAGCTGTGATCAGGTCATGTGACATTCCCAAGCCTCAGCTTCCTCATCTGCAAAGTGGGCCCAGCATCCACCACCCTGTGGGCAGCTCTGGATGAACTGGAGGATGAGCACATGGCTTGAAAACATGAACCCCAAAGAGAGAAAGCCCCCCGCCACCTGCGCTGCCCCTCTGCCGAGGGGGGCCAAGGAGCAAGGTGGAAGTTATGAGAGAGAACGAGCCCGATGCCTGGGCCAGGTCTGGACATCTTCAGGACAACTTTGATGGGAGGGGGAAACTGAGGCACCAGCTGGCCCAGGGTCCTGTGACTTTGAGAGATTGAGCCGTGATGCTGCCTCCCCTGACAGTGGACTTTGAGCTGGGTGCTGCCCCTTGATCCGGTTGTGTGCCCTGGAGTCTGTCTCTGGGCCTCAGTCTCCCCCTCTGGGCCTCAGTTTCCCCTGGTTGCTTCCAGGTGGTGGATCTCCTGTGGGTCTGGGGGCCAAACACGAGGAGCAGCTGCCTCCTGAGAACGAGTCTGGGTCAGAGCCCGGGTGCTATTCTTTTTGGGGCGGGGGTGGGGGTGGGTGAGTACCTAATGGCTTCTTAACAAATCCAGGTGCAGGCTGGTCAGCTGTGTGCAGAGGCATGGAAAGCCCTGCCCTGACCCCTCTCTTGGCCTGTCAGTGCCCCCTCAGGTGCAGCCAGGCCCTAGCGTGCTGAAGGTGCTGGCTGGAGAAGCCCTGGATTTGAACTGCATGGCCGAGGGCAATCCGGAGCCCTGGCTGAGCTGGTCCAAGGACGGGGTGGCCCTGGGGGACCAGGCGCTCAAGGGCTCTGTCCACTTTGCCGCCGTCAAACCCTCAGACGCAGGGACGTACAGCTGTGAGGCCGCCAGCAGCGCCGGCGTGGACGCGTGGGAGCTGGAGCTCAGAGTGCTGGGTGAGCCCCCGAGGCCCAAAGGCCTCTCTCCATCTCCCTCCACCCAAAGCCTGGACCTCTGCTCCAGGTCCAGACCCCGCTCCACCTGCCCTCCTCGGTCAGAGCCCTTATCCTCTCTGGGTCCTTTTAAGCGCAGCCTCCTGCTCTACTTGGCAGGGCTGGTGGCTGATGGTCAAGGTCAGTCCAGGTAGTCCTCAGAGCCACCCCCAGGGGCCTCCCTGATCTCCTTCCCCTCTGAGGTGGGTGGGGGGCACCCAGGGCTCATGAGCCCAGGTCCAGCCTCTTCCACTTACCAGCAGGGCCCCCGTACTGTCCAATCTCTGGCTTTCTCCTCTGTCCCATGGGTCTGCTCGTATGTGAGGGAGGGTCAGGGGGAGGATGCATGTGAAACGCCTGGTGCCCAGCAAGTCCTTGCTGTGCGGTGCTCACGGTCTGCTCTCTGGAACCTGAGTGCTTATGCACTTGAACCGAGGGTGCAGAGCGTGGGGCAGAAGGGAAAGGGCAGTGCTCAGAGCCCGGGGGCTGGGAGCCCTTGCTCAGCCTCGCCAGCTTATGTCCCACTGGGGTTCTAGATGGGGTGGGTGGGGGGTACCCTCCCTGCCAGCTCTGGTCCTGGGAGACTGAGCATGCCCATGTCATCTCCCACCAGAGCCGCCACACTGGGGGGCTGATGAGACCAGTGGCCTGCTGGAGCGAGTGGCCGGAGAGAATGCCACCTTGCCGTGCCCTGTCAGAGGTGAGGCTGGGGCTTGGGTGGGTGGGGCTAGGGAGGAGTCACCGCCCCAATGCCCTGGATCCCAGTGCCCTGGCTCACACATTGCGGGTAGGACCCGGGGGCTACGGATAGCCCTGCCTCCTTGCCAGGGCCACGCCAGGCATCTCATCCCATCGACACCCATGTGGCTAAGTCCCGTCGGGTCAGCTCCGACTCTCAGTGACCCTCCATGCAACAGAAGGAGCGCATCCCAGCCCCAGGCGGTCCTTACCATCACTCTGAGGTTTGAGCTCACTGCAGCGCCCACTGTGCCCATCGTCTTATCAGGGGCCTTCTTCTTGCTTGCTGCCCCTGCAAGCAGGATGGCCTTCTCCAGGGACTGGTCTCCCCTGACAACATGTCCAGAGGACGGGAGACAAAGCCTCGCCATCCTTGCCTCTTAAGGAGCACTCTGACTGCACTTTTCGCGAGACTTTGTCTGCTCATTTGGCTGCCCTGGTTCCTTCACGACTGCCCGCACCACCGTTCCACGTGCTGCGTTCCCGTGTCTTCCTTATGCGTGGCCCAGCTTTTGCGTGCACGTGAGATGTGTGGTCAGTGCACCTTGGTTCTTAAAGTGGCCTCTTGGGTCTGGAACACTTTAAAGAGGTTGGTTCATGCAGCAGGTTTGCCCAAATGCAAGACGTGTGATGTGCTCACGGCTGCTTCCCTGAGCATCGACTATGGGTCTGAGTAAAGTGAGCTCGTCGCCAACACCGGTTTTTTTTTCCTTGTATCAGGCTGTAGCTTATTGGTCCAATTGTGGCCTGGTTTGACCCGTGCCCTGACTGTCCCTCCACTGGGGTCCCTCCGGGCCTGCTGGGGGAGACCTCAGCTGGGCAGCATCGGGACTGTGATGGTCAGGGCCGAGGAAGACCCAGGCTCCTTGTGGCTTGAACTGGGTACCGTGCAGCTGCAGTCTGCAGGCTCCTGGAGGAGGGGATCCCCCTGTCCTGAGTCAGTCAGCCCTCTGGGGTCCAGCAGTACAGCATGACGCCAAGGCAAGCCACCTCTGTCGTTAGCTACTGATGCCTTCTTTGCCCCTTCCTGCCTGTACAACTTGGGGCAGTGGACAGCACTTTCATGAACCCTCATTCCCCCTCTGGACTCCGCTTGCTGGGATAAGTTGGTGGGGCAATGGCATTTCCCGGTCCCGGCACCTTGCCTACTGCATAGAGGGAGCTCAGGATGTGTTGGATGAATGGGGCCCCATTTCTGCACAGCCGCCCTGCCCGGCCAGCTGATCCACCCCCCAGCCCAGGGGCTTCTTTTGACTTGAGGGCCATCGGTGGGCATTTTCCAGTTTCCCCGCTGACTGTGGGCTTCCTGCCTGTCTCTGTGACTGGGTGGCATCCTGTAGAAGGGCGGGGGCAGGGGGGTGGGGAGCTGGAGGGCAGGCTAGGGAAGGCCAGGGAGACTACTTCTCACTTCAGCTGTGCTTCCTCCTGCTTCAGGGAGCCCCTGCCCTGGAGGCGGGATGCACGGGGCTGGCACTAGTTCCAGGATGGGTGGTGACCAGCTGCCCACTTCAGCCTGGGCAGGAGTGGGGCTCGGGAAAACTGCTAACAGGTTCCCCTCATCCTGAGGCTCAAGATTTCAGGCCCTCGACCATGGCGCCACCTGGTGCCAGTCTCTGGTAACAGCTAGCAAATGCTCCGCGTGGCGGGAGGTAGAGGTGGGAGCCACCCAGCACAGGCCTCTTGCTTGTCCCCTTTTCTCTGGCGGCCCACAATCCCCACCACAAGTCCTGGTCACTCTGGGGCTTCTCCTCACCAGCATGACGCAGGCCCCCTCCAGACAAACACTGCCTCACCTGGCCACGTTGATGAGCCCTTAGCTGGACAAGCCCTGTTCTCTCCGGGCCTGGGCAAGCCCAGTGCAGGGAGGAAGTGGGGACAGAGGGGTACAGCTCTGTGACTCCTGCTGTCTCCCTGCCAGAGTCTTCAGGGCAAGTCTGCAGGGAGAGCTAGTGTCAAGTCTCAGGCTGAGAACGTGTGCCCCTCGCTGGCCAGCACCTGATGGACCCAGACCCTTCCAGTCCCAGCAGCTCTGAGGCCCGGGTTCCCTGGGTGGTGGGTTGAGATCTTAGGGAGAAGCCAAGGTGCTGGAAGAGATTGTACGTGCATACATGTGTATGTGTGTACATACATGTATGTATGTAAGCCTATGTGCAACATGTAGACATCAGATGCTGAAAGCTGGGCATTCCAGCCAGCATCCTGGGCAGAAACATGCTTGGGGATTCCAGCCATAGAGGGTTTCAGTGACTTGCCTAGAGAGGCAGAGAGTAGACGGACATGGGAAGACCCCCAGGCCCGGGACCCTCTTCCTCATACCAGCAACAAGTAGCAAACAGCACTGGGATTTCCAGCGGTTTTAGGTGGGAGCCGGCAGAGCAGGGCAGGGAAGCCTCCCGAACAAGATGGCGTTAGGGTGCCTTTGGGTGCCGTGTCCTGACTCCCGCCCCCACGATACCCCTCCATCCCAGCAGGGAGGATGAAAGAGACAGAGAGAATTTGTCTACAAAGGGAGATGGCAGATAAGGAGAGGGTGTTATTAGTGGTAATTAATATTAGCAATTATTGGGAGTCCTGATGACGGGTGATGGCAGCAATGATGAGTGTGGTGTGGTGGAGAGGTGCTGACTTGTGAGTTTGGGGGTGCAGATCAGTGCCCGATATTGCCCCTGGTCCCCAGCCTCTCCTCCTACTCAGTGTTGGGGAGATAAGGTGGCAGGTGAGGGCTGAGTACACAGGTTTAAGGGTGGCCACTGCTGTCCTGAGGGCTGGGCAGGTCAGTCAGAGGTGGGAGTCACACAGGTGGTGCCCCCAATCCTGCTGTGACCACTAGGCAGCACTGCCTCCCACCTGTGTGAGCAGCCTGGCTGGTGGGGCGGTTCATTCCACACTGCTGGGAAGACTTTGTGACTACCAGGCCCTTTTCTAGGGGCAACCACATGTGGCCATCCCCACTGTGTCCCAGGCCCTGTGGGGCTAAGACAACCAACAGTGGACAGTCCATTATGAGGGTGTGTCCCTCACAAGGGACTGGGATTTGGCTGGCCAAGTGACGGCACACACATGGTAAATGAACATCCCGGGCAAGGCAGGTACTGGCCGCCACTCCTGCCTTTATCCCAGGGCAGAATGCAAGGCTTGGGGCTTGTTCATCCCGTCACCTGCACACCCGGCGTCCCTGTGGTGGCTAGGCCAAAGGTTGGCAGTTGGAGTCCCAGTAGAGGCACTTCAGGAGAAAGGCCAGGCAATCTGCTGCTGCCAGACCATCAGCCGTTGAACCCCCCTTGGGCACAGCAACGGGTCTCTGCTTGACTGGAGCATCATGGGAGGAAGGAGAGAGCCAGGAACCGAAGAGGGAAATGGAATTTGTGCCTAATTGTCCCCACGGACAACTGCCTCCTTTGCCATGAGATCAGAGGACTGTGATGGGGCCCAGCCACCAGCACTGTACATTTTGATCAAAGATTCTCTGAAAGAATCCTGATCAAGAGAGGGGCTTGCAAACCGGAATATAAAATGCTTATGAACTGACTTTCTGCCCTGAGATGTACTTTGGACATGCTGTCAGGAGAGAGCCTCGTGTTTGGTCAAGCAGAGGGGCAGTGAAACTGAGGAAGGCCCTCAGCAAGAGGGACCGACACAGTGGCTACAATGGGCTCGAACATAAGAACAATTGGGAGGATGGTGCAGGACCAAGCAGTGTTTTGTTGTTCCTTTGTGCATGGGGTCGCTATGGGTCTAAACTGACTTGACCCCACCCAGCCCCCCCGCAACACAGTGCACATGGTGTCAGAGTTGGTGCAACAGCAACTGGTGTTGGCTGCACACCTACTGTGTGCCCTATGCTGTGCTGGGGCTGGGGCTGCAGCAGCCAAAGCCCTGGGGTCTTGTGGGAGGAGCCAGGCATTACCTAATAAAGACCTGAGCATGTGCATTCCCCGGGGCAGGTTGGGTGTGCTGGGTCGGGGTTGGTGGTCAGTGAGGTGGCCTACTGGGACCTCACTGGGAAGGAAGTGGGCTTATGGGCCCCCCAGATGGGAGGCAGAGTAACCCTGTGCAGGGAGCCTCGGAGGGGGAAGGTGGCCCCTCTCATCCTGGAGAGACCTAGGGTGGCAGTGGGGGACAGGGTGAGCCTGAGTGTGTGGTGCTAACAACCTCATGTGTCCTGTCAGGCACGCCAAAACCGCAGGTCGTGTGGCGGAAAGGCCTGTCTGGGGAGCCCCTGCGTGGACGGCCAGGCGTGGCAGTGCTGGATGAAGGGGCCCTATTCCTAGCCTCAGTTTCGCCGGCAGACAGTGGG